CAGTAGTTTCCCCTGAATAAAGGATAATGAAAGTAAGGTTATTATAAATTCTACAAATAAATTTTAATAAATTGAATTTCTCTCTATGTAATACATCTCTTCATCTCTAGTACTTAAACATGATTCTCTTCTTCTTTTAATAAAAATAGTTTGAAACTATCCACAAGGACTTAGTTCTTTGAAATTAAATACTCTAAAGTTATAGACAACTATTAATTATGTATGTAGACTCTGATTATTATAGACTGCCTCTAAATTTGGGGTTTCCTATGATTCTTCATCCTGTTCCTCAGATAGTATTTTCAGTTACATAGTCACTTAAATGTTAATTTTAGGTTGAAGTGTATCTCCACTGGTTTTCACATAAATACTTGCCATTTCAGAAATATCTATTTTTTCAATATTGATGCAAGATAAGGGATTGTGAGAGATTCAGATTCACACAGATTGTTTTTCAGTGCTTAGTATAAACCAGCTCTGGGAAGGACTTTTACACATGTTAACTTGCTTTGGGAATAAACATCTAAGCTTGAAAACAAAAAGTTTGAATCAGTTCTTTATTTCCTGAGACTTGACTTAAATATAATATCTTTCTCATGTTTCTCTCACTCTTTCATTCTTGAGCATACCTCTTAGACTTTTTATATATCTGAGATGACCTATTTTTTTAGGGAAAAAAAAAGGTCATCTCAGATATATTTTGTATTTTCACTAATAAGCTAGAATCCACGAACAGACTTGGAGTTGATCTAGGAGGCAGCCATGCTGTTCTGTTGTTGGATTCCCCCCATGTGTCACATAACACTTTTGCTACTTCCTGAGTGTCCCTAAAGCAAAGAACCTTATTACCACAGTGGGTTTATTCCCTCGCCTCTCTCAGGGATTCACTACCCTGATCCTCAGACTGCTAAAGATCCTTTGTTAATCTGTTGTCTTCCTAATGCCTCTTAATTTGCCCTCTTAATTTGAAATGCCCACCCTCAACTCCAATAATTTAAAATCTTTTGGTGAATAAAAATTATTATTTTTTATAATAATAAAAGAAAGAGTGAAATATTAATAGTTTTGATGATTTGGTCTCTTGAATTACAAAACTGGCTTATTGCAAAGTTCAAATAATATGATCATAGCAGGCTATAAAAACATCCAGTTGGCTAGAAGGATGAAAAACATTAGAGTTGGATGCCATATGGAAGAAGACTAAGATTTATTTAATTATTTTATTTATCTTTCCCATTTTTCCTATTTCCAGGAAACACTAAGCTCCATTACCTCCATAGTCCATAAGCGGAGGTGTCCATCCTCATGAGCAGTAACAAGGATAGGAGGCTGAACTTGTGTTAAATTGGCAGATCCAGGTTGGTTTTTGTCCACTGACAGTTGCTCTCTCTCCACATTTGTTTTCTCACCTATGGGAGAAATTAATGAGCTATAAATGGTATTTGCAATACTTGGAATTCTACATTTTATGAAATGTAAAGAGGAAGCAGGAAAATAGCAAAATATCACATTCTCTTCCCCAGAATTTTTCCTTCCTTCCTTTCTTTCTTTCTTTCTTTCTTTTTTTTTTTTTTAAATTCAAGAGAACAACACAGGGCAGGGAATAAAAAAGTGTTAAAAAATAAAATCCTTACACTAAGGGAAATATGCCAGACTTTGAAAATCAAGGGTTGAATGTTTCCCCTCATACATGGAAGCAAGAGCAAAGTAAGGAAGGGAAAGGAGGTAACATTTCATAAGGATAGAGGGAAGATCTGTGGAGTAGGAGAAAGAAATCAAGGGGGAGGGAGGAGGGATGGGAAAGGGGAGAAAATGCAGAATGCATTTAACAGAATTATGCTATTTACATATATATTACAGTGAATTATATATATGTATATAAATATATAATCACTTAAAAATAAGTAAATATATAAAAGAAAAACCAGTAGAGTAGGAGGAGGAGAGATGGGGGAGGGAATGAGGAAAGGAAATGTTCTGGGGACCAAAATGGAGCAAATTAAATTCCATTCATGTATGATTTTGTCAAAATAAGCCCAACTATTATGTATAGCTATAATTCAATAATAAAAACATTTTTAAAAATAAAAAAATGGAATCCTGGATCACTGAAAAACTTTAAAAGGTTTATATTTTTTATCCTATAGCAAAAGCCTCTATTTACCGTATGTGCCAACTAGTGTAAATCCTAACACATCCAGAATGGCTTATGTAGAGGTCTGAGGAAAATGGGCTGGAGATTAAGAAGCTCAGTAATGTTTTAGATTTTTTTAAAACCTAGAATTTGTATTTTAAAAGGCATTATCATAACAAATTCTACCTGTTGGACTACCAAATCCCACAGCATCTCAACATTTGAGCACAATATTCATTAAGAGTATTCTGTCAGGTAAAGTCCCTGCTACAAAGCAGTAGCCAGGGCTGGGGATGTGGCTCAGTGGTAGAGCACTTGCCTAGCATGGGGGAGGCTCTAGGTTCAATCTGAAACACAGCAAAAACTTAAAAAAATAAAAGAAAAGAAGGTACTGTTTTATTAAGAAGAAGAGAAGGGACACTGACCTTTCAACTCACCATCGTGTATGCTTTGCTTGCTTCCCTGAATGAGGAGAGAAGAGCAAGATAAAATATTTCTTGACATTGTAAGGAAATAAGACACAATAGATGAGCAAATTTATTTCCTTAAGCATTAATTTTAAAATTAGTTCTTTGAAAAACTGTATTGCAGAGATTTTCATGTTCATAAATAGGGAATCCATAACCCAACATTTCCTAGTGGGTTCAGGAGTAGCATAATAATGAGAATCATTAAACACACAAAACATGCCATGCCCAGTTCTTGGTATACATTATCTCTAATTCTATTGACAGCCAAATAGTTTAATCTTTATTATTCTCTTTTTACTGATGAACAAACAGAAACTCAGATCATGTGATGTGACATCTCTACAGCTATCCAGTTACTAACTGGAGGACTTGGATTCATGTACAAGTCTTGCTTTTATATCTATCTGAATAAATTTATTCTTTCACCATGCCAGCTATTTTAAAATAATTTATGCTGTGAAAACTTTCCTTTGTACAAAATCCTAATTGGAAATACAATGTATAAACCAAGTGTGGTGGTGCATGCCTGTCATCCCAGTGACTCTGGAGGCTGAGGCAGGAGGATTACAAGTTTGATGCCAGCCTTAGCAACTTAGAGAGGCCCTAAGCATTTAGTGAGACCCTGTCTCAAAATGAAAAATAAAATAAGGGCTGAGGATGTGGCTCAGTGGTCAAATGCTCCTGGGTTCAATCCCCCAAACCAAAATAAATAAATAAACAAAATATAATGTGTAAAAATATATACATTGAAATTAAAAACCACTACATTACATTATGTTATCATTATATCATGTAATCTCTTCTTCCTGTAAATTGTAATACTTTTTAGCAAATGAGATACTCTAAAATTACTTTGTTATTTTATGAATGCAAAAGTAATATCACTTAACTTACTTTGTTAATGGTTATATATTGATTATTTGCAGATGGAAAAGCTTTGAAAAAAATTTAAAATTGAAAATGGTGTAGATATTATTATGAAAAACATACTTTTGACATATACACATCAAATTTTTCCACCTTTACTTTCCTTTAAAGGAAGGAAGGACTCAGATGCTCAACATCCTATTTTTGAGCCAACACCAAGTAGAACAAGAAGATACCCTCTCTACTTGTGGCTTACCTTGCTACTCTGTGGACCCTTGCTAGACTCACACTGGGATGAAGAGCATATGGAATCCTGGCTTGATTTCCTATAATGGAAGGAAGGAAACCCAAGGATGAAAAGGTACTATATCATACTCCAAGAGTATCTTCTGCTTAACTTTCCATTGATTGCTTCTTGTATCAGCTGTGGATACCAGGCCCTTCAATTATGAAATTTTGTGTGACAGACATTCAGTAGTGTGGTGGAGACTCCTGGGGAGCTTTTAGCAGCTAAGGTGTATTGCTGCCTGGGTCTGGAAAAAACAAGTCTGATCTGTCCTACAACTAAAGCTGGATTTACTCCCAGAGGCTTTGACACTGAAATGGCTGGGGATGGGGTGGTTTTGGGTAGGGTCTGACAAGCCTGGCTAACTTCTTGCACTATAATGGTCAGTGCTGGCTTGATTCTGTCTCTGCAGTGGTTTGCTAGCATGGACCGAAAAGTGGCTTAGGGTGCTGGTGCTGGTGCAGATGAACACAGTGGAAGTCTTTGAAATATTGTCCAAATTGTTTTGATGAAATTTCAAGCCAAGAGGTAGGTAAGGTATTGTATTCTGGCTCACCAGTGGGTGACCTCAAACTAACATAGAAACTTTTTATTTCTTCTCTGGAGATGTGTTTAACATTGTTTATTGCCCCCAAACCAGAATTCTCAAGCCAATATACTTTCTCTTAAATACTTATAAAACAAGTCTTTGTTCTTTCAGAAATGGATGGAGATTGCTCAGTGATATTGAATTGAACGTGAAACCTGCAGTTTGATCTTCCATCCCTGCCTGGAAAGTTCTAACTTTAGCTTTACATCGGTGGTGACAGTGTTAGATGTTGGCTCACAGTGTGGCTGAATGATGTAAAGGAGGCTGTGAAGTTGATATGGTGAGGGGACCATACAGCACATTAGGTCCCTGAGGACCACTCTAACTACATAGACAGTGACAGGAAAAAAAAGCATTGAAGCTGAGAAGTCAACTCAACTTATGTCTTCCTCCAGTTGTCCCCTTCTTTAATACTAGAATGAAGAGAACTCTTTTTTAATGTCATCAACATAAGTCCCAGATAATACTACTTGATCCATAAATACTAATTACCTTGCACATTCAGGAGTACGAAAGAGGAACAGTATGTCATTAATCCTAAAGCGCTTGGGATCCAAGTCAGGGTCCACATTGAAACAACCTTCAGGTCGATACCTGAAAATCAGCATGCATTTACATGATAAATTTCTCAAAGTAGATAACTTGTATTATTTTTTTAATATGGAATGCTTCATGAATTTGCATGTCATCCTTGAGCAGTGGCCCTGCTAATCTTCTCTGTATCGTTTCAATTTTAGTATATGTGCTGCCGAAGCAACCACAATAACTTATATTATTTGTACCATATTTCCCATGCAAATATGACCAACTCCCAAAATGTTGATGACTTTGAATATAAAGAAAATCCAGGGGCTAGGGTTGTGGCTCAGAGGTAGAGTGCTCTCCTAGCACGTGCAAGGCCCTGGGTTCGATCCTCAGCACCATATAAAAATAAATAAATAAAATAAAGGTATTATTAAAAAAAGAAAATCCAGAAATTTTAGGGTTTGAATGTTTTCTTTAATAAGGTTCTGCATAACCATATTATCCCTTAATAGTTTAAAAGTCTTAATTCAGTTAATTGGACTGGTTCTCCTAACTATAGGTCAGAGTGTCAGTTTGTATAATCCTGTGGTGGAAACTACTGGAAGTATCATACTGTTTAAATAATAGAATTATACTCTCTGAATAAGTGGAGTGACAAATTGGAATTAAAAGAGCTTACAATTTAGTGGAGAAGAATAGGCATTTTAGAGATTACATTGCTCCTGTTTTTCAAGTCCCCTGATGCTCCAGATTGTAAGGAATGATACACCATCCTAGGTAGTGGCCTGAGTGAGAACAGAGCAACTGTGCCTAACTGCCTGAAAATCAGCATGCTTGGTTCCAAAAGTAACACTTTTAATTCCTTATAGCAAATAGGCCCTTTAGCAAAATCCCCTTTTCCAGAAATGACTTCTGCTAATTTGAGCCAGTGAGGGAGTAGGATCTGAGATGTCCTTCAAAGGCCATATGTTAAAGGTTTGGTCCTTGGCTTGATGCTATTGGGAGCTGGTGGAAATTTGCCTAATGAGAATTTTCTGGTCAGTGGGGCATGCCCTTGAAGGGCCAGTGGGATCCCACTCCTTCCTGGCCTTCATTTTTGCTTCCTTGCCAGAAGATGGTTTTGCTTCAAGCAAAATGGCCAAATGATCATAAACTGAAACCTCTGTGAGCCCAAATAAAACTTTTCTCTTACTGATTATGTCAAGTATTTGTTAAAGTAAGGGAAAACTGACTAAGAGTGATGAAGTAACCAAGTTCAAAAAATAAAGGATTTGGGCTTGATGACTTGTTGGGCTCGAAATTCTTAGGTATTTCTGCTTTGCAGATAAGCTGAATACATTAAATACATTAAAATCATTCTTAAGCTGAAATACATTAAAATTATCAAAAACAATATTGAAGCCCGATGCAGTAGTACATGTCTGTAATTCCAGCAGCTTGGGAGGCTGAGGCAGGAGGATCACAAGTTCAAAGCCAGCCTCAGCAATTTAGCAAGGCCCTAAGCAACTCATTGAGACCATCTCTAAATAAGACATAAAAAGGGTTAGAGACATGGCTCAGTGGTTAAGTGCCCCTGGGCTCAATCCCTGGCACCAAAAAAAAAAAAAAATGAATTTGGGCCTCCCCAAAACATGGATTTGGGAGCAGAGAGAGAGAAGGCTTATTTCTCCTGAGAATATTCCTAATTTAAAGGAAGAGAGGTCTTAGGCAAAGTTTAAGGTAGAAGAAGAAATGGCCTTCACCATGAATATGGAAACTATTTTCAATTTAAAAGCAAATTACCTTAATTATATGTTTTGAAAAATACTCCAGTGGTTCTCTATCAATTGTTTTTCTATAATTATCAGCCTATTAGAAAGGGACGCCATATAGAAACCACAAAAATGAGTTGCTTTTCTCTCTGATTGGGTGTTGGAATTGCATGCATCTCTTGACAAAATACCAGGTACGCCAACAAAGAGGATCTCTACCTTTAAATTGAGAATGTTCTCAGGAGAATTGCCCACCCTTTCATCTGTGGCATCCATACTGGTCTTCTAAGTCTTATCTACTTTCCCTTCTTGGCAATAAGTCACTTACAGTGCAATAAATATATTAATTAAAAAAAAGGTGAGGCAGTGTGCCATGCACATAGATACAGATATCAAATGACAGTCTGCAAGAAAAGCTCCAGGGCAAGGCTGAAGAGAAGGACCGGAAGGACCAGAGGATGGCAGAAATTGTAGGGACGGTCCAGGAGAACATGGACTGAGGTGCAGAGTGTAGGGTCTGAACCTCAAATATTGACTATTTCAATTAAAGCTTCAAAAGAGAATAAATCCAGAGTCCCAATGAGAATTGTTTTCCTTTCAAAAGTTGTCTAAAAGCAATGATTCAAACTTGGACAGAAAAAGAGCATTAAGTCCAGATAGGCCAGTACTATGTAAGGTACTGTAGAGAGGCAGAGATTGCTTGTGAATTTTCCTCTTCTGCCTCATCTGTTCCAGCTTTCTTTTCTCCTATCCTTCATACATCTTCCCTTCCCTAAGGAATTAGATAATCTTTATATTTTAATTTAATCATTAAAATTCTTGGCCATCTTGTACCTTTAAATAAAATCTTACAAACCCCTTTGACATAGAGTGTCCACACATGGTCCTTGTAAGAGTCCTAATTGGACAACTGGGGAATTATTATTTACAATCCATCTGAACAGATAATACAATATACATTGGCTTCTTTATAACCAATGGCAAAAAAATTTAGATATGAATGGCAGAGGAAGATTTTGGTCATAATATAGAGCATCTCAATCTAAGTGCTTGCGATTAAAAATTACACCTGACACATTAGCCTTTGCTAGCACCATTCCATAATAAATTGGATGTGTTGGGGTGCTGAATGAGACATAAAAGCCCTAGGACACCTCTCACCATTTGACTTTGGAAATCACCAGTTGACAACTAGACATGTGTTTGAAATTCTGGAGATATTTGTGTTTGAAGTTATTATGTATTTTAAGTATTTGTCAAAGTGACAAGTTTGGACAAGATCACACATGAAAAGATCATATAGGCATGTGAGGAGAGTATAGGTCAAAGTTCTTAGAATATAGATACTTAAGGTTTACTGTGTATATATCATTCTGGAATTCGAATGTAAGGAACATAGTCTTTTCATGACCATAAACTCCAGGAAAGCCTCCCTTAAGAGTCATCCCCACTTTTATCCATTATGTTTTGTTTTGTTAAGCATTGCCAGTTATTTTGACTATTATTATTCAGTAAACCTTTTATATTATTTAAGGCAAAAATACAACTTACACTTCTTTGACAGTAGATGCTACAAAATTCCATAGGATGATTATACCATTTAAGGCTCCAGTAACTATCAAATTATATCCTTCTCTTTGTAATAAATCCATGCAGCTCACCTCAGTATTGATAGCAGGATTCTAAAGAAAGAAGAAAAATGGCCTCATATTTAAGAATACAATATCTAACTGTAGTATGAATGCCGTGTGAACAAGTTGTAATTGTCATCAAGTTAAAACAAAATGTCTTCTTAAAACTGTTTAAGTAAAATCTAATGAAATTTAGTAAAATCTAATCTAAAGTTCGACGTTCAATCTGAAATTTTTAAATTGAAAAACTCATTAAAACAACAAAAATATGCTCTCCTTAATGCTGGTTCCTTTCTCTCAGCCTTGATTTATTCTTCTTTACCAAACATTAGATTACCTTTCTACCTTTCTCTTCTCTTCAAACTTGTTGAAAGAATACTTTGCACTAGCTATTTTTCACCGACTGACCTTTCTTTCGCTCAGCAACCCTAATTGGCTTCTGTTCCATATCATTGTGTGGCCCTTTTTATTTACCATTATTTCCATTTCTATGTGATACTTTTCAATTATCTTGTTTTGAGTATTTGTTGGGCATCTTATGTTCATAGACTATGAAGTCAAATAGGTGATTGGAGAAATGCATAATAATGTAAAGTATTCAGATGAAGTATTGATTACCACATAATTTTAAAGCATTCTATTAGAGGCATGCATAATACTTGATGGTTAAGGGAATATTGGAACCCTGGCCCCTTCCTCTCTCTTTTACTTCCTGCCACGAGGTGAGCAGTTTCCTTCTCCAAGTGCTTCCACCATGATATTCTGTCTTATCACAGGCCCGAAAGCAACAGTGCCAAGCAACGATGAACTGAAACCTCTCAAATCATGAGTCAAAAATAAACCCTGCTCCTTGAAGTTGATTTTCCCAGGTACTTTATCACAGCAATGAGAAGCTGACTAATACAGCTTTTGTCTCTTTGGTCCTTCTTTTTCTGTTTTCTTCTTAGTATCCTCTTAGTCTGCCAACTTTTTAAATGTCAATACCATTAAGGTTTACCTCCAATACATCCAACTCTTTCTGGGCAATCTTATTACCTTATGTTTGAATCATTTATCACCATGTTAATGACCTACAAGCTTCAGGTTTGAATATTTAATCACCAATTTGAACCTTTACAGATATCTCAAAGTTAATACATCTAAGTTATTGCCTGATTTAAGCATGTTCCTGGCGCTGTCCTTGAGTCCTCTCCCAATTATTTGGCATTCATCATTAATTAACTGATGGCCAATTCTGCTACTTTATTGACTAAATATTTTTGGAAACCTTCCCTTTCTCATTATGCTATCATGATCTTGTAACTTTCAAGTCAAACAATAGCCTATTGCCTGAATTTTTGTAGTTTAATTGTCATTCAAATCTGCCACCTAAGCAGCATCAAATGTGAGCAATCCACAACACAATGGGATCCTGCCATTTCCCACATACAATTCTTTAGTGGCTTTTCATCTCTTAAAAGATATTCAAGCATTTTACCATCATGAGCACCATCCAGTCCATATCCACTTTTTTTTTTAAATCTTCATCTTCCACCACTCCAGTCTTCCTTCAGCCACACTGAGATATTTGTAGTTATCTTTCTCTGACTGAGCAATATTGAACCTCCATAAATTGATCATGTTATCTACTTCACTTGGGATTCACTCCATCTTTTCACATCCCTTTAGAAACCCCTATCTGGGCCAAGCTAACTCCCAATAATTCTTTATATCTAACTTGGCAATTATCTTCTTCAGGAGCTCCCCTCTCACCACAGCCCTCCAAGTTCTCTGCTGTACTCCCATAGCCCAGGTACTATATCTCATTAATCTTGACATTTCCAGTGTTAAGAGATCAACATGCTACATGGTAAG